GAGCTAGTGGTCCTGCCAGGGGACCAAGGGGGTGCTGGGGAGGAGTGAGTGGTCAGGAAGACCCCCTGGCTTGGTGACATCTGAAACAGGTGGGTGGGGAACACCTGGCCAGGGAAGAATGAATGGTCCAGCCAGGGGCTCGGGGAGCCCTGGGGGGTGTTTGGGGTGACGGATGGGATGAAGCAGCTGCTCTTTCCTGAGATGGGGAAGGGTCATTCTCAGGAGCCGGGTTTGGGGTGTATCTAGTTTGAGATGTCCTGCTAGACTTGCAGGTGTAAATGTAGACTCTGGTGTCTGAGGTGAAAGGAGTCCTGGGATGATGAAGTTTGCAAAGAAGTTCTCTAGTCTGCCCAGAAGCCCCCAGCTGCTGACCAGACTGAGCATGGGGGTGCTCTCAGGCCACCCTGGGCAGAGCCGCTTCATTGCGGAGGGGTGGGGGCTCCCTTAGGCCATTTCAAGAACCCCTGAAGTTGGTCATCATCACCCTGACTTCTAAGCCAGAATGGGGACAGCCAGAATGGGGACATCTTGCAGTGACAGGCAGCAACTCCACCCAGGTCCCACTGGCGCTTGGCCTGCTCTTTCCATCATGCCCGCTTCTCTGGAGGTTTCTTTGATGTGGACTTGTAGCTTCCTAGTCTCTTGAGGGGGGCTTTGGCATTTGATGATAGAGGGGGCCAGTGATGAGGAGATCCAGTTAGAATAGACTCCTCAGGCGTCTGGTCTCCAGCCTCAATATTGCCAAGACCCTTTCCTCACACATGGGTCTCATCAAAACATTGCCAGAGGCTCGATCCTGGAGGTGGACACTAGCTTCGAGTCCTCAGAGCTGAGGAACCCATTCAGGCTCCTTGTTGTCTTCTTCCTCCTGCAGAGCACCCAGTAATCAGTGCCAGCAGCCACCTGCACCACCCAGCCTCAGGCTGCAAAGCCCCAGCCTCAGGCATTTCCATAGCTGCTGCCCCAGCTAATGGATCAGTCCAGTTAGCCTCAGACTCCTAGGGGCCATCAAGCCTGGAAAGCTTTGCCTGCCGGGAGCACATGTGAATAGAATGTGAGAGTGTTCTAGCACCTCTAGATGCTAAATAGTGGGAGAGAAACAGGAGTCAGGTGTCCTGACTCCTGAATATGCTGATGAGCAGGAGATATGTATTCTGGACACCCCATGATGCTGCCCTGAACCCTCTTTGCTCTCACGATTGGTCTTTGTTCAAGACTTTTCTTGCTTGTGATCTCCATTATGGCGGATGGAAGTGAGTGCAGAGCGAACACTAAAATATTTCTGCAAATATTGTGCCTGTTTTCCTTGCTTGTGCAGCCTCTTTATCCATCCTTCATCCAAAGTTATTTCAAGGGAGAAAGGATAATCCTACAGAGGTATTCCTTTGTACCGGATTCTTCAGTAGTATGATATATTTACAGACCTATGCACCAAAGACAGCAGCACACACATCCTGGTCAGTTTCTAACATGGTTTGAAGCTAAAATACTACTGACACTATTTCCTTTCGACCTCCCACACGCCCTTCCGAGGAGTCTAAGCATCTCTGAGGCCAGGGTATAGGCGGCACCTCACCCTCCCTTCACTGACTGGTGCTTCTGAACCTTGGAGACCAGTCCTCTGGCCATGAACTTGTAAACTTTGTCTTCCCGCTAGACTGTATTCCACGGAGGTAGGAAAAGGGGCTTCAGTTTCTTGGTGTCACCCTCCCCCCGTTCCCATCCCCAAGCCCATTTCCCGGACGCCAGCCCAGTTCACACCCATGTTGGTTTGGCTGCTGGCGGACCCTAGGTGGGCAGTGTCGGGGCCAGTCCCAGTAGGAAGGAGAATAAAGAAGACCTGTGTCCCGCCCAGCTCCCCCGGGCACTGCCACATCAAGGTGGCAGGCACAGAACATGCTGCCAAGTCTAGGTCTGGAAACCTGTTGGCGAACCACGACCTCCTCTCACCTCCCCTGACCACTGTGGCCCTGGGGAGGGGGCAGTGAACGCTGGGCGCACCCTGATTGCCAAACAAGAAAGTACAAAGTAGTGGGGCTTTGGAATTGCAGGGGAAAGCTGAAGCAAATAAAGACATACTAACTGGCAGACCAAATAAGAGGACTGGCATTTGGCCGGTGATTTTACTTTGGAAGGACTTTGCGGATGTGTTTGGGAAAGCTGTGGGTGTTTCGTTTTAGTTCAGCGTGATTTTGATTTTTCTAAGGAAAACATGGGTGTGTTCTCTATGCTGGGCTGCCATGGCCTCAGTCATTCTGGACCTAGACCGGGGGGCTCGTGTGTCCTGGTGAGCTGCCTTTGGGTCATGTGTGGGAATGATTTGGGGCAGGGACCAGTGATGGAGGAGGTGTTCCAGGCCTGAAAGTAACTAGCACGTTTCTTCTGACCGGTTTGTGGGTGCCTCCCAACCCGTGAACCCGCTAAGACTTTCAAGGCCAGAGTATGCTTGCCTTTCTTCTCATTGTAGAAAGACCCCTCAAGCCTTGGCCTGACTACGTATCAGTAATCTCCTATGATCCCCAGCCTCCAGGATAACTAACAATACACAGCAATCATGGTCATCGTAGTAACATCAGTAACCGTGACACAGACACAGACACATGAGCGGGGCACACTCTGTTCTTGGTGCTTGTATGTCGCCCTCACAGCATCTCAGGACTTACTGTTACATCCTGCTCGTTTTCCAGAACAGAAAACAGAGAGGTTTGGTACATGCCCGAAGGTCTCACAACATCAGGGCTAGGATCTGAACCCACGCAATCAGGATGCAAGCTCAAGCTCTTCCCCGCCACCCAGCTGCTACTCCCTAGTCCTAGTCATAAGTAACTCACTTGTTTGCCCCAGGTAGGGCCCTGGGCCAAGATAACCAGAGAGATTTAGGAGGAAAGAGCACCCAAGACATAGGGGCTTGCCTTGGGCCACGGGGTAATAGCAGGACTCAAACTCAAATGTGGTTTCCGGACTACAAAACTTACACTTTTTTCACTGAACTAGCCTCAGATGAAAAGGTGCCAAGCTTAGGTCATTTCAGGGTAAAGAAGGAATTGGTTCACCGCGCCTGCAGAAGCTTCCAGAATACCCAGCTTTATGGGACAGGTCTGCTTACAACATGTTATAGGCTAGTGAAGTCAGACATTTTTTGGAGGTAGGCGAAGGTAGACATTGCTGTTTAAAGGAATTCCTCTTGCTCCCCCTTGCCAGGCAAAGACTCATTCACTAGTTTATCGTCTATATTAATGAAGCAGCTGAAGATGGAGCCAAGTCAATTCAGGAAGAACCAACAGTGGATTCCTGGCAGATGTGCTTTCACTCACGTTTGAGCTGTTACAACCTGCC